CCCTATGTTTTGGGACTAGAGATGCCCTGAAGAGTCTTTTTCATCCACAGATAAGATTTTCTAGACCAAACACATTCTTCTTTGAAGACTGCTTCCAGTTAGTTTTCTGAACCTGTGATAGAGAAAATTGATAAAAATTGTTTCCTCACATAACATGAGAGAGAGTGAGAGACTTTTTCCTTCCAGGAATGGTCCAGTGATTTGGTATGAGACTGTTTTGACTTGCATCCCTTGATTTAGCAGGCCCAGAATTCTGTGTGTTTCCAGATTTTATTTGAATGTACTGACATCTGAAGTCAACATCCACATTTCAGCATGTTTGATCAGATAGTTTGGAACTGGTGGGGTTTTGGAGTCATTATTAAATTTCTTTCCTGACGAGGTTTTTCCATAGCAGAGTACAGTCTAGAGGAGGAATAAATAGTCCGGATTTGTGATTTCATATACTGTCTGCCTCAGTTTCCTTTCCTTACTTTCATGTGGGAAATTTCAGACTACTTGTCTGTGTTGAAAAGTTAATTGTTTCTCTGTTAGCTCAGTTGAAGTCCAGTTATCAGCTGCTTCAGCTTTACTTTCTTCTCTACAGTATTTTCCATTTCTTTCTTCATTCTATTGCTAAATGATCTCTAAAGAGTAATTAGTGGGGTTTTTCCTCTAATTAAGGACCTTAGTTCCTCAATTTAAACTCTTAACAGAAAACCCTTTGAGTCTTTTCTTAATCTGTTCCATCCTCCACTTGGTGATAACTAATTTCTGATATGAGGGTACTTTTTATAGATTGTTACAAATTGTAACCTAAGGTTATACTGGAGTGTCGTTTGTTTGTTTTTCCTCAAAACTAAAAGTTTAGAATTGTTCACCTTACTTTTGATGACAAGGAAAGATATGAGATTTTGTTTACATCTATTGCACAGTCATTCGAGGAATTGTATTTCCGCATAGTTTCCAACTGGATAACTGTATATGAATGTGCTGTAAGGTAGTTAAAAAAGGCAGTATTCACTTTGATTATACCTCGTTAAGACAATACTCAGCTATATCAGTGGCATTCATCAGAATCATGCCAGTACATAACGTAATGTTTGTAAGGCTGCCAGTGCAGCTCCATTCACATTTGGAGCTCTAAACACTGTCATTGAAGTTGAGGAAATAATGCCACTTTTGAGAGAGCAGTACTTTAATTACATTAGAAACTGTGGGACTGCATCTTCTGACTTACATCAGCAGGGTATGGCTGAAAGCCACACACATAGTGAGTGTGTGCACAGAGAAACTATTTTTCCAAATGCATTTTCTGTACATGCAACGCCCTCCCATAGTTTTCCGCAGAGTCCTGTTTAAATTTTGGATCCCTAGATTGAGAGAGGAAAGACATACTTGAATTCTTTCATGACTGTGATGTACCTAGGTGGATATGGGATTTGAAGTGTTCCTTCTGGATCTCCTGTGATAGCATTGTCTTCACAGTGTTGGCAAAACCCTTTTTCCCTTCATCTTATGGCAGCTTTTGACACCTACTGCACTCTCTGTTCCCACTGCTATTACATAGGTTTACTGAATGACTGCACTTCTTCTGTTAGTGCAGTCATCCAAAGCTGACTGTCATTCCAGATGTGGGAATACAAGATTCAAGATAAACTCTCCACCTAAGTCTTAGTGCAGCTTTTCAAAGTGGATAATGTTTGAGTATAATGCTTATGCCTGTGATAAACATCTAAACACAGTGGAAGCAAAAATGAGCCAAGTTGAATCAGCTCTGGTTCTAGCATTTGACAGAGTCCCTCAAGACTGTATTTCTCTGCAATCCTCAGATATTTCCAGAATTTAGGAAATGAGGAGCCACTCTTTATGATTCTGCTATCTCTGAGGATTTTGCTCAATTGTTCATTAATAGCAAATTCTCTCCCACTGATATTCTTCTTCAAAGTTTCCAACATTCTTCCATCTTCATCTGGTTTCTCAACTGCATCTTTATATTAAAAACACCTTTTTTATTCACATTACTTCTGTTAGCCTTAGAGGAAGCTTTAAAGGATTCAGTCCTAGAAAACTGCACCATGCTATCTTTTCCTAGACAAGGCTTGAGGATTCATCTGATATATTTACCATGGGCAATTTTTTACTTTCGTGCCAGCAAGAAAAAGTTCTTTCTGTGAAGGCTTTCTATTCTCTCTTCAGATCCTTTGAGTCACTTAAATCTGAGAAATCTGGAGTTGGGGGGAACTGTGTTGGATATGGGGTATGAACTTCCTACCACAACACGTTTGTAGTTGTTGTTGTGTTGGGCAGTGGTTGAAACTAGAGAAAGAAATGGCTGGAGATGAATTATGTTTAGGCAAAATCACTAGTCTCAGATGCTGTGAGTATGGATGCCCATTGTTGTGTGTATGAAAAACTGATCTCAAGTAACTGTTGTTGATGTTTTGTCTTCTTATTCTTGGGTAATATGCATGGGGGTTTGATATATCTTATAATAGGATGAATAAATTATTTGACTGATTTATGTGTAAGATATTCTAGGAAACCTTTTTTTAAGTTCTCAGATGTAAGCAGTCAACTTACAGAAAAATAAAAAATAATAATAGTAAGAAAATTGATAATAAAATGTTTTGACTATATTTTTAGCACATCTGTGGCAACAGAGTAAACTGTTCCTTTTGGGGTTAAACGGTGAATTCTTCTTTGAAAGAACGTGTATATGCACATTTTCCCTGTGCATGCTCTGAGTGCATGCAGTCACTTTACCTGAAAGACTTTTAGCTTTAGCTGCACTTAGAGCAAGCTTACTCATACTTTATTTGGAAGATAAGAAAATCAGGACAAGGAGTTTTGGCGGTGGTGATGAACTATTCAAAGTAAAGAAAAAAAAAATCAAGGCTAACTGAGGAGTTGGGGGACTCGAGACTGATTAAGCATGCAGTAAAGTGGCAGATGTAAATAAATGTAGTGAGGCTCATGGAGCAGCAATCTTCTACAACTATTACCATTTTTGGAAGGTAATTTGGAGGTCATAACAGATCTATAAAAATACTAGTCTCAATGACTAGTAGCTACTAAAAAGACAAACAGTGTTAGTCATTACTAAGAAAAGCAGCAAGAATAACACAGAAATTACCATCTTGCCTGAGTTCAGCTCTGGCATATTTTTAATTGCTACACTGTCAGATGTATTTAATAGTACTGCAGAGTTAGAAACAAATATGCATACATGCATATTGACCCCAAACCAGGAATTACTGTTATGGTTGTCCATTATCAGCTGATAAATAATCCTCCCCTTTGCTTTAAGTATCTTCCATTTATTTTTTATTTCCATGTTTTCGGCCTATCATAAAATGCAAATTTAAGAGCAATGTTTAAGATACTATGTTTTCAGTAAACGTTCTACAAAGTTTTCACTAAAAATCACCTGTTTAACTATAAACAAGCAGGGATTTATCTGATTATGTGTCCCAATCCAGTATCAGGGGAGGTTTCAATATGATCCCAAGGTGAAATTAAGGCACAAATAAGGTCAAATGCCATACACCTAAAACAGTTTTTATTATTAAAAGTGAAGAGGGGTAGCGATAGGACAGAATGGAAGGAAAAGACAGAAATCAAGCAAGTATGCAGAATAGAGTAACAAGAATAGTCACCACCATGGATCCAGCAGTGTCCCATTGGTCCTCAGTCTTCAGTTCTTCGGTGGTGGGTGCACATGGAGCAAAGTTTTAAGTTGCTGCTTATGTTCAATGTACCAGCTGATTAGCATATCTGCCCACCTTTTTTTTTTTTTTTTTTTTCTCTGGTCCCACAGGTTTTTGCTGCATGCAGCTTCTGGGGCAGAAATGCTCACCTCTTAAAAGTTCATTAGCAATGCATGCATGGTGTCTGACCTACACAACAGAGCCATGAAAGAGCTACAGGATGGAGCCACTGATAAACATTTGGTTTCTATTCAGTCTGTGTCTCCCCCTTTGAGGCTTATCTAAGAAGTTTGATAATACAACTGCAGGGGAGTAGGGGTGCATCCTTCAATACACTCCTGCTTCCTTAGACTAGTACAAAGGCTGCAGCAGCTTGTCCTTGGGGTTTGCACAGACACAAGCAAGCTTTGAGACAGTCATTTGACATTTCAGTCTCTCACAGTGTGCAATGAAAAGTAAGAGCAAAGTAAGTTTTCACCCATTTCTACCTAATCACAGTTGTTCTAAAGCAAAAATTGTGGTTTTAACGTTCCTTTGTTTTCATTTCTGACTTCTATGGAGCTTTTATTAGCTGCTGTGAATATGTAGGATTTAGTCATCTCAGGTTTGTCACACAGCTTCTGCAGCGATGTAAAAGCACTGCAAATACAAAATTTGGCAAAGTACAAAACTTGGCAAACTATGAAACTTGTAAAATCTTGGGAGAGAGTCCCTTCAGTTCCTGCTGGCATGATGTTGAAATAAAACTGCTGAAAGAAATCTTTTGCATTGTGGACCAAGGTAAAGATTCTAGTTGCAGTTTCTTCCAGCAAACAGTTTAAAGAAGTTAAATTTAAAAATTTAGATTTAGTAAGAGGGATGTAGGATACAAGTTAGATGAATCTGAAGAAAGTATTTAGAAATACAGACAGAAAATTTATACAGAAAATGAAGCCTGCAAAAGACTAGCTGGCTGTCAGTATTCAGGTAGATCTTGAAAAAATAGGGGTAATTTACCAAAGTGGTAGCTGATTTCTTTCTCTAAAATACATTGTTTATACATGAAGGGCTAACACAGAAAGCTGAGGAATGGTGTAAAATGAGGTGTCATCTAATGATAATTTTGAAAGATGTACTGATTGTAAAATTAGGAAGAATACCTAGTATTTAGTGAATTTAGTGGATGATAAATTTCCAAAATTAATTAAGTAGTCTCTATAAGTTAAACTTTTTTTGTTAAAGTAATGAAATCATATATAAATTGTGTTTAAAAATTTTTACATTATGATATATTAATTTGATTTAAAAAATATTTTCTCTTGTATTGTTCAGAATGAAGAGAAGGCACCAGTCAGTTTTCCCTCACTTCTTAGCCATATGACATCTTCTTTCTTAAACCATCCTGTAATTCCAATGTCAACATATGCAGATGCAGGTGTCCCAGAAATGCTAAATACTTTTTCTCCACTCGTATCATCCATGCCTTGTGACATGCATATAGTCAATCTGAGGACAATCCAATCAAAGGTAAGGTCAAACCAGTATTTTTATGTGTAAACGTTTGATGTAGCTTATTAATATAATTTAATCAAATACTTCAGAAAAGTAATTTGTGGGAGGGTTTTTTTATATGATATGATAAACTGCAGCATGATAACTAGTTTTCGATAATTCTGCAAAAGCTAGAGATCTGTGTCTGAGTAATGTGAAATACAGGAATTGTTTTTTCACAATATAATAATATACATAGTGTATTATTCTGTATCTGGAGGTGACTCATTTCAGTGTATTCCCAAAGTTTAAGAGCAGAAGGTTAATATGTTTTGCCCTCTTCTGTATTATGAAGAATTAAATTTAAGGTCATTTGATTTTTTCTGAATATGATTACTTGTGTTTTTAATAAAGCATATAGTTTTAAACCCATCTGATTCCATTTGGAAGACTTAAAAAAAAATCTACTGTGTCTTAACATCCATATGAATAAATTCTTAAAATATTTTTAAGCTTAAATACAAGACCTATTTTAATTATTCTAACATTACTTTACAGTCCTTGGTTCCTGTGAAACTGTTCTCTGGTAGGTTTACCAAAAAAGCCCAAATAACAAAACAAAAGAAACAAAAACAAAACCCCTGTTCTCTACTCAGTATTCATTGCAAAGGAACTTGCACAATTGTAACCACCGTATTTCAATTTTGTGTTTGATAAACTATAGAAGTAGAACTGTTTGTTCATTCTTTTGCCAGCTCTTGTGTAAATTCTTTTCAGTTTTTCAACACTTTTTAAAGTGGGAGTATGTTAACTTTATGTTGTATTGCAGGATCACTCACCAGTGCTGTTACCATAGATTAAATCCTTTTTTAATTCTGCCATACTTAGATACTTACAAACTACAATTGTTCCTTCTCCCTTAGAGAAGGTGCCTGAGGTTACACCTCAGATAATATTCAGAATATGTGCAAAGCTTGCCCTTGGCTACTATTTTAACATAGTTCTTCATTTTTAGTCTTAATCCTTATTTTAAAAAGTAAAGAATTACTTTCTCACACTTTCTCTTAGTAGTTCAGTCTCATGTACACCTCTTCAGCTGTGACTGTTTCTTATTTTGAATTTCAAAATGGAATAACTCTTGATTCTGTGGGTCTTACACCTTTGAAGACTTAGGAGAAAGCTTCATATTGAACTAAATCTTCATGTGAAGTATATGTTCCACACTTCACTGTAAAATTTTTTCATTTACCTCAGGCAGCTCAGCAACACCTGTTTGTTTCAGCATGTCAAGTTCAGGGCAGACCTTCATGAACGTGCCCCTTCTCCCTTTTCAAGGCCTAAACTTCCTCCACTTGTTTGATCGTGTGGCCATGAAATCTGAGAAATGGAAAGCTGGCTCTGTGTCTGCTTTTTTGAGTTCAATGTTGCTACTGATAGGTGAATTCTACAAATTTTTCTGGGCTACACTGGCCCCACTATTTCAGTTGGTATAGGAATGTCTGAGGCTATGATCTCTTCCCTGTCCACAACTGTTTATTTCAATGATTACTTGAATGACAGCTCTTGAGCTTGCAGCGTTACTTTGTGCACTTCAAAGTGAAAGTTATCAGTAGTCACAGGATAGGGCCACTATCGTTATAGGTACAGAACAGTTATTCCCCACAGCAGAATTGATGTTATGCCTTACAAATAATTTCTTGAATGCCAAAATGGCCTTTTTAAATCTCTCCTCACTTTCTGCTTCCTTTCTCTGTTTTCCAAGAATGTGAATGATGTGTCATAATTCTGGGTAATTGACACATTGCAATTTTTTCCAGACACGTAGACTACTTCTCCGTTGCTTGAACTGTTGAAGCTGTTAAAAAATGAGTACATTTGTCCAGTTATACTAAATATATATACGATTTTTGGTCATGTTACTTAAATTTTTCAATGCATGTTTGTTAGCTTATGATAAAAAAGTGTTTAAAGGTTTTTTCTTTCTCATTAAAATTTTAGCCGCATTGCCCCAGGGTAATACTTACGAGAAGGCCTAGCAAAATTTTTTTCCATCTAGAAGCTTGATATGAGAACTGCATTTTATTTCTCAGATCAAAATTATATCAAACTTTGGCAGCTCTTCCAAGAAAGACAGTCCAGATATTTAATAGTACAGTAGTTAGGGAATTTCTGTTATATAACAACACTATGAAGTTTTACAAGATTAAGGATGTTATTGTTTGTTGAAAACTTTATTACAAGTTTTCATGCAGTTATCATGGTCATGTTTAGAAGATGTATTTGATGTAAATTAGGTTCATCCTTCATCAGACATGCTTGCATACACTTTTTTACCTGGAGATGGTATAAAAAGAGTTAGAGTAGATGCAGAGGCTGTGGCAGCTTACTCAGTCTTGCACCTGCTTTGACAATAGGTTAGAACAGCTAAATTTATGACACATTAATGTGATCTGCATTATGAAATCCTGGGAATTCTAAAAGGTTGAGTATTATAACATAGATGTTTTTACTTACCAAAACTCTTTTCCTGAATGTTTTGTTAATTATTACCTTTCTATTTTAAATATGTTGAATCTTAATTATAATTATATTTAATTTTTAAAACCTAGGAGGTGAAATATTAATACCATCATTTAAAATTATAAATGCATTTGTTATGCAGATTACTCCAAGATAATTCCACTGTAATAAAGTGTTGATACCCATTACTGGCATGGATTTTTAACATTAATTTACCCCATATCAAGTCAGGCTTTTGCTGATTGAATTTTAATATTTCACTAATCTGATGTTTAGGCAGACAGTATTATTTTGTGTGCATAAAAATATCTGCTTTTAAGTGCAACAGTCACATCAGTGACAGTGAAAACTAAGTCAGGTATTTCATAGTTGCAGGCAGAAAATAATTTTGTACATCGTCATTATTACCTCACTTAATATGGAAAGGGGTAATACTGTTGCAATAAACAGGATAAGAACTTTTTCAGCCATCAGTGATGTTAAGTACTGCAAACTTGTTTGAACAGCCTGACTGTAGACACCATTCATTAGTTGAAACTTGATTTTAGGTGCTTATAAGCTAATGTTGTTCATTAAAATCTTCTCAAACTGAGTTATTCATGATTTGTAAACTGTGTGAAGTTTCTACCAATCAATATTTGAGTGGAAAGTATCTTATTTCAATTCCAAATTCCAAGTAAATTTTCACTATTTTAAATAACTTAGAAAATACTAACATTAAGTTTATCAGTTTACCATTTTTTTTCTTCTCTGAATGAGTACTTAATGCTATGAATTTGTCATACAATGAAGCTGTGTCATGCTGAGTTTCAGAGAAGCTGGTTCAATCTCTTTCAAGACCTCCTTTATTAGGAGAAAATTGTTCTGGATCTGAAGCCTGTTAGATTAAGACCTCTCTTGTTTGTTACACCTTCAAGAGCTAAAGCATCACAAAGTGCCTAATGCTTGTTGGCATAGGTTTCTCCAAGACAATACTTACTGAAGTACCAGACGTGAACCTAACTCATGGCAGAGACTTTGGGGAAAAAACACCTGTACAAAAACAAGTAAGCCAGAAATAAATTAGAGAAAAATAGCCCGAAGAGCTGGCATGGCTGTGGATAGAACCATCTTTTTTACACCCTTACTATATAAGTAATAAGATGAAGAGCTGAAGAATGTAAAACAACAACAAAAAAGAAATAATTACAGTAATGCATCATAAAAAAAAAAAGTACTGAGGTGAGTGTAGCAATACAGCTTGCAGCATGAAGGGCATCTTGTCATGTGCCACTCGTGATGTGAAGATAGATTGCATGCACATTCATCTATAATGTGAAGAATTTCTTTACTGTTACTCTTACTGTACAAAAGCGGTTTTCTACATGTTAGTGTAAAAGAAAAAAAAAGTTTTTGTGTAAAGTGAGGTTTTCTAGCCAGTTCTAGGCTTTGACTTTGTTTTCTGAAGTACATACCAAAACAAGATTCTGATTTTGAGGCATTTATACCACCCTTGTGACCATTTGTCCTAAGTGATTTTAGCAATTGGGTCCAAACTCGATAGTTGAGATTGTGGTTTACTCTTGGGTTACCTTTGATGACCCTTGAGGCTCAAGAGCACCATATGTCTTATCTATAAACATAAAATTTATTTAATATTTGGGTTTTAGTATATGATTTCTTGTATATTTTGATTTAGATTTTAGACGGCAACTTTACAAAATAAAAGCTTGATAGAATGTAGTCACAATCAGTATTTAAAACTGGCTATTGTAATTAGCATATGATTTCTACGTTGTTTTGGGGTTAGCCATATATTTTTTCTGGGAAGCCAATTAATACAACTGTGATAGCTACACTTAAATTCTGGGTCTGTATGTGTACGTCTATTGAGCTTTGAACTCCTTGGTTAACAACTTCCATTTGTATTCTGTTGTACTTTGTATATCTAAACTCTTTGCTGTTTAGTTCTTCTAATATTTATAAGACTAGATATAGAAAGAAACATTACTGTTCAATTTAGGCTGAACATTACTTAAAGGATAAGTGGCTCTATCACTATAAGGTAGTTATAGTTTTATGAGATCCTAAAATGGCTTTCTAGCTGAGCTACTTTCTGAGTATTTTTTATTTTGTATATTTGCAGGTGAATATTGAACCATCTGATGAAGCTACTCTGATTCTTCACAGAAAGGGATTTGACTGTAGATTTTCAAACAGAGACATAGGTTTGCTCTGTTCCTCTACTCAGGGAAAGGTATGCATACCCTACCTTACAGCAGAAATATTGATGTTTAAGTCAAATTGTAGAAGTCTAGGTAGTTATTTCTCAAGAGTTGTACGTAATATATATACTTTCAGGGTAATAGTTAAGTTTAACTTGAAGGCTGCTTTCCATTTGATAAAGGTATGTATCTGCTGGTGTGGGGGATTATTAATCATGTAAGCATCAGCAAGTAAACTTCTAGGTCAGTTTTAATCTCATTAATTTCCTGAAAATGTGGTTTTCATATAACACACATCCTTATTTCTCAAATAACTTTTAATAGTGTTTTAGAACTTTACTAAAAGAGTCAAATGACATATTCTGATGTTTATCTTTTGAATATTATTAACATATCCACAAATTATCTGACTGTTACTTTGAAAACTCTTGCTTATTATATAGCATGTCCTTTGTCTACCCATGCTCACTTACATGACCTACACCATTGCAAATATCTAAGTGTTTTGAAATTGCTATAGAATTGTTGTGGTACATAAGCTTAAAATATAAATTATATAACTTCATTCTGAGAGTTATAGATGGCCTGGATGGTTATGAATCTGTAAAAATTTTGTAATCAAGCTTTGAATTAGGTTTGGGATTTTTTTTAAGCAGAAGAGTAAGTGATGTATTTTTAGAAACAAGATGAGTTTTAATCCAAACATTTCTGATCAGTTTTTTAATATCTAACTTACTTGCTTTGAAATGCAGCAAGTGAACACTACCTAAAAAGATCTAATTTAGTGTGTAGCTTTGAGACATGGTACTTAGAACTACTCATAGTAAGAATTGCTGTGCTGATACCTGTAAGAAAATGTATCATTTGGATCGTTGTTAGAGATCAGTTTGAAGTCAATTTTAAGATATATACTGTATTTTCTAAACATATTTCTTCTTATTTTCCAGATAAAAGTACATAAACTCTTTAACAAATTCAGAGTGGAAAGTCTTACACCTGCATCTTTATCTTTGATGCATTCACCTCTGGATACCAGAAATATAAGTGAAATAAGTATGAGTTCTATGGAGATAAATACGTTCCGGATCAGACTAAGATGAAATCTGGCTTTAATACTCAGATACACAAGAGGAGTCTGCAATTACATCTCCTCTAAGTTTAACGTGCAATAAGAAGCACATTATTATTATTCCAGCTTCTGGATACTGTGAGAAAAACATTCATTCTATATTTTTTTTTTTTGACCAACACAATGAAAAGCCATGTTGCAACCAACTTTTTTGGGTTTTGTTTTTGTTCTTTCATAAAATAACATCAATATAAGTTAATGCAACAAGTGAAGAAATTTCTAAGGATGTTAACCTCTCAACAGATAAAATCTCAGGTTAAATGCTAACTAATGATGTTTCTGTTTTTAATTTTCATAAAGAGGGGATTGGATTTTAATAAGCCTTCTTTGTTGATCCTTGATGAATATATGTACAAATAATTCAGTGTAGAAAGTCCTGATGCAGCTTGGAAATAAAATGGAATAAAATGTTCTTGTGTAGTAGCTAATGTCCAAATATTTACAATCATTTATATAATTGACGGTAATGTCAATTTGTTCCACAATTAATTTCAATTTATTCAACACAAAGGGGATTATTAATTGTGGTAAAATGAAAGCCTGCAGTACTTGTGATAAGTGATGGTAGATCTTAATACTTCTGCCACTCACCTGAGTTATGTAAATAGGAGAACATGAACCTACAAAATAATTTTGCAATGAAAATGTTTAATAAAACTCCCATTTTGTTACTTGACACACTGGGATATGTGCAATTGTTCCATTATCATGTGTAATTAGAAATGTCCATAATGATCATGAATACACAATTTTTTATAAAACTCATTTAGATACCAATGTTCTCTGAAATGAGTTTTCTATTTCAAGATTACCATATCAAGATAAATGTGCCTTATTTTTTGATACGTCTTGTTACAATTTTGGTGTCTATGTTAATGTTTTTAGGGGAAATGTAGTTTATATAATACTTAAGCTGTGTATCTCCTATTTGACAATGCTGGCCACACTGATCTATATCCTCCTGCACCAAGTTTGTGCTATCTTATTCAGAACATTTTGACTATTTGAATGTATTATAATGAAGTTGTAACATGAAACAGACAAAAAAGATTTACTATAAAATCTAAATTTGGCTGCTTTCAAGGAAATTGTGACTTGATGCAGAGAGCTGATAGTAAGCAAGACATAGTTTGCAAACCCATCAAAACATGTCCTTACATGTCACAGACTGTGGTGACCTGTTAATTCAGAATCATGTGCCTATATTTTAAACAACATTTTTCAAACTTGCAACCTCATTTACATTGCCAGTGTTCACATTACTGAAAAACTGAGTCTTTTCACGTATTGATTCATATTTAGTGCTGAAGCCATTCAAGTGTGAAAAATTTTTCCCTAAGTAGAGCTACTGTTTACGGTTAATATATATGAACATGCACTTGAGTATGGTCTCATTTCCTAGTCTTCATTTATCTTCCTAACTCTTTCTTCTGTCTCTTGCTTATGCTTTTTTTTTTTTTCCATACATCATCGCTTGTCTTTAATACTAATGCATGAAAAGTCATCATAACTGGTAAAAAGATGTGCTATTTTCTAATTCTAATATTGCCTACTGTATTTAATTTCATCATTGTTCCACAGTGTATCAAATTATGTCATGTAGCTGCAGGCTATCTTAAAAGAAAATGAAACTTTGATTTCATGCATTGTAACAGGTTGGATCTTTGTTGAGATTGTGTAGATTTCCCTACTTAATTCAGTCTACTGTGTGTTTTGTAATTAATGGAATACTTAGTAGGATCTTTTGCAAGTTATGTCAAGAATACAAGAACCACTAACCACAAATGGAAGAATCAGATGGATCCAGTAAATGGATGTTTTCATGCAATAAACATGTACTGTAACTTTTCTTAGCTGTAGTATTTGAAAATACTATCTTTTGTTGGAACTCAAAGCTTGGTAGACTTGCCAGCAGAAATTTCTCATAATGTTTATTTTGTTACATCTTCAGAATTAAGATGCTTCAAAGACTTATATGTGTTCTGTGCAAGAGTTTTGTTAATCAGAAGAATAAAATTTTGATGCAATAAAGTTTTAAAGTATTTTGCCTGTTGGAATTGCTTCCAAAAGATGTTTCATATAGCAATCTTCTATCATCAGCTGTACAATCATGATGATGAATCTTCCTTAACCAGCAGATTTAATCTTTGTTCCTTTATTTTGCATTTTTTTGTGTAACAATAGAACAGCCTTCGATTTGGGATCCTTTCCTGAAATCCTTAAATAAGTCAAAACTCCAGTTGAAGTCGGATAATAAATTTGACTTTAGTTGTTTCAGAATGTGGCTGTTAATGGGTTTGCATTTTTTTTCAACAACTCTTACTGAATTCTTAAACTATATTTTTGTTATATTGGATATTTCAATTAAGTTCTTGGTTTTTTCTGTGCATCAGCTATCTAATTTAATCTTTTTTTTCTATTTTTATAGCTGCTGGGTTTATAACTACTGGTTAAGAGAACCAAGCATCCTTAGCTTCCAGTATGGTTTTAAAGACAGGGGTGTGTAAGAAATGATTTTAAAACCTTGTAATTGCATTCCATACCAGAGTTGCATCTGTACTGATTTTTTTTTCATATTCCTTTATCTTAAATGTCTTTGGTTTACTTGCTCATATTGTCCAAAACAAACTGATTTCAACTGAAGATTTTTAATATTTTCTCTTGGAATGTTTTATATCTATGGGGATATGTAAAGTAAGATCTCTAATAAAAGATAATATCAATGTGAGATGTGGTCAGTGTCATTAATGCCTTAGCCATAGCAAATTTAAATAAAAATTTTAAAAAAACAAAACAACAACAACAACAAGCATGCCTTCTTTGAGAAGATTCATATACCGGTAGCTTTTGGGAATGACAATTATCTGTAGTGAGATGACAAAAGATGCAATCTATTTCAAGGTTGCCAAACAGAAGATGACAGACGCTGACTTCAGTTACCTAAACACATCGCACTGTGAATGCACAGTGTGGTAATGGAATGGGTAGCTTTTCTTTCACAAAAGAAACTTTGCACTGACTTAGCAGGAAATAGTAGAAGGTGTAAAATTCCTGATTTTTTTTTTTACTTGAATTAATCTCATTTCTCTTAAGCATTTGAGAGTAAAGTTCATGTAATTAACAAACATACCATTAGCAAATATAATCAGAGTAGCAATTCCACTGTAATTAGACTGAACACTTCTAAGAAAATAATACAATGCTGATATAATATGCTGTAATTACATATGACAAGTTGAACAGGCATAGATGCTTTACATGCTGATAGAGCTTGAGCATAATGAGTTACAAAGACAATTAGTATAAATTTCAGTCAGTGCCTGAAGCTATTTGAAGCTGGACTGGATAGTCTTAGCTGTAAATATAGAAGTATACATATACAAATACTATGTAAATCCCTGTAATTTTAAAAATGATGTTTCAAGATTTAAAAAAAAAGTATATAATGTCTAACTGAAGCAGGCAACAGTGGGTATGGGTCCAATTTAAAGCACTCCATCACCTTTCTAAGATCATTCTATGGAATCTGTTAATAATATCAGCTTGACCACCTGTACAGAACATATTCCACTAATTCTTGTTACCAATAAAGTCTTTATTTACTTTTTGAAATTAAGTTAGCTACATTTGATGTATATCTGTCCATCATGTTTTAAAATAACAGGTGCTTGATGTGTAGATATCTTTACTGATACACTACAATATATTGCTCAGATTTAATAGGTTATTTGACTTGTGATGATTTTCTATATAGGACAAAATAGAAAACAGAGATTCAAGTTGTCCTACTTAATTTAGGATAGCTACTGTGTCATAATATGAAGTGTTTGCAACAACACAAATCAGCCAATGGTATTACTTTTGTCTCCTGAAAGTGGGAACATAATAAATTATCTAGAATAAGCTCAGTTCATTGGAAAACTACTGGAATTTTCAGATAGTATTCTTACTGCTGCAAAGCTTCTCTGTCTCCCAACATTTCTATAAATTATAAAACTAAGTTGTGGTCCTGTCCATCTTTTAATATACAGATTTTATGAAGTAATCAATATCTGAAGTCCATATTGCATCTATATCTTTTGCCTGCCAGAATTTCAATGTAGTAGCAATAATGCATTATTTACATTACTCTCCTCCCTTTAGGCAATTTATTTAATCATAGTGAGGGTAATGAAAAAAAATAATTTCCATCATGTTTATAATTTTTTGCTGTTTGAACTGTAAAGATGGAAATTTTCAATTGTATGTTTCAGAGCTTCAGGTTCTCAATATATTTTTCCTGCTATACAGTGCTTGTTAAAGGGATGTTCTTTGATTGACAGTCTATAAAATTATTTATTTTATGGGTATGACTAAACAATCCCAGCAGTGTCTGTCCTGGTTTACTACCATGACCACTCCCTGTGCATCACACCCATCCACCATAGAGGAAGATCCATGTGATCTTCCTCACAAATCATGACATGCAAAGTAACTTGTGGTCTCCTCAGGTAGCTAGGCTATTTTCACTTCTATCTCTAACTTAGATATTCCTTTTGTACTACTCTCTCCTTTTTTAGCATGTCAGCTGATTCTGTACGCGTTCGTAAGCTCCAGCATGTACCTGGCCTGCCAGCTCTGCCCATTGAGTATTACAGAGCTTTCTGGAGTCAAACTGCCAGCAGTGTCAGTCAAACCATGAGATGTACTGGATGTGAGCACTCAGCCCGCCATTCAAGTATTACATGATTTTCATCTACATCAATAAGCATGCAAATGCAGCATGTGCCCTACTTGCTTAACAAAGGTTAAGGGGGAGATAACTGGGCCTGTTAGGCATAAGCTCAAGGGAATCATGCCAAGTGGCCTGGTGAGGGCTCTCCCTCTGCCATTCCATTTGAGAGAAGGGATAGATGTTCAGAAACCATGGAAGAACCTGAGAAGGGTCTGGTAGGGAATGGGACCCACACTCACAAAAAGGTGTTGGATACA